CGGTTTCGCATGGAGTATCATAATAGGACAAGATAACGAATCGCATGCAAAAAGTGGTAATCGCGAAGTGATTTTCGACATAATGTTTGTAGAAAATATTGCAATACAATTGCAATATTTTAATAAATTCAATATTGTTATGATAGATGTCCATTTGAGAAATATTAATATTGTACTTTGATATTAATATTGTTACGAATTTGCCAAGAATCTAAATAAAATAATCGAATAAATGCTTTCTTAATTTTTTTCACTCTTACAAATTAATTAATGTATTGCAAGTTTATTTTTAGATATTTTATGCAAAAAAATATTACCGTATTTTATAATTGGTTAAAAAGATAATTAGATAATAAATTAAGTTTGAAAAAAGTTTGCGTGACATTTTTGTAACACCATAAAGACTAGTAATTTGTCGGTCGATTTATGGTGACCTAACATTTCAGGCGAGTGACATGATGATTATTCAAGAAATCCTAAAAAAAAGCGTCTGAAAATTTTCGGTTGTCGACAACGACTCGATGAATATGAGAAAAGTCCCCACAGTTATTAAATTAAAATTATGATGACAGCGATTTAAAAAAGAGATTGCGCGACCAAAATGCCGAGGCAAATCATTGATCGACCGGAAATTAATAATAAATTAATGTTTATATCTCTTATCTTTCACAGTCACGAAAACTTCTCTTTTATGCGAAAATATAAAGTTATGGGTTTATAAGAAAATCATGAATGATTAATTTTTTTATTTTATACTATTATTTTTCTACTACTAAATATGATATTAAGAATATAGTTTCCGCAGTAATATCACGAATAATGATTATGTAGGATAGAGAAAATTCCACCTTAATCTCACATCTACATAAATTACTGTGCTTCTTTGCGCGCTGTCTGTTACTAATCCGCGAGTGACTTATGATCCCGGACGGGTTCGAAGGAATTCTAATCAACTAGCCGGACGTGCCTCTTAATAACGGGTCTGTCTTAATTAAATTAAAATTCCCATCGGGCCCCACTACGCGATCTCTTTCTCGGGGCGTGTCCAAGGAATCGACCGTCCGACCGACCCGACTTCTTCGACTGACTTTTGGAGACCGCATCTCGTACGAAACTACTCATGAGCGAGACCGAAATATGGATTTTATATAATATTTCAATAGAATATTTTGTTACTTAAATGTAAAAGTTTATATTATTTTTATACATTAAAAAATTGCAAGCAGCAATAAGTAGTATAGATATCTAAAAGAATAAGTTTTTTTCTTCCTTTTTCCAAATTTATAAATTAAAATTAAAAATAATAATTTTTTAATATAATAAAACACTATCATAGTCTCAATTTCTCTTCTTGCAATTCAAATGTAAGTTATTCACAGAATCTCAGAGAGAAACCTCGAACGAAACGGATAAACGAAATTCAGCGGTCAATAATTAATCCATCCACGGCAATTCGACTGTCCCATCCTGATTTGTATCGTCCCCGCCCTCGAGCAGCTGATCCGGGGTGCATGAAACCACGATATTCTCACATCCACCAAGCATAATATTACCATTCTTTATTCGTTAACGATCGGCAGCTAGTCGACTGTTTTACCGAACAGATCACGTTCTTTTTTTGTACTCTTCTGAGGTCTCTTTCGTCTTTCTTTCTTCGTTCTCAATTTATTACGAAAACTTTTCCCGCGATAGTCCCTCGCGCGCCCTCATTCGATATTCATAAAGCGATGGACCCTTCGAGTGCCTCTTAATATTACACGACCGACGATATGAGACATTATCGTTGTCGTTCGCTGAACCGAAACATTTCGAATAAGCCCGTTCAAGTTAATTATCGTGAGATATGTATGATTCAATCGGGAGGATCGAATGCATAAACAGGCATGAATCGATACATTTGATGATCTTATAGTGATTAGTATGGTATGAGCATTGATGAATATTGATATAATTTCGACACGTATATGCTATATATTTGCGATAGTAATCGATTATATAGATATATGGATTATATGGATTAATGTACAAGAATCAACATATTATTTCCTTTATAAATCATAAATTGGGAAATAGACTGAATATCCGAATATCTTTTTTTGCTTTCTGTTCAGTCTTTTGTATATAATTGTTATTTTGTGACACACTCTCTTTTTTATAAATTTATTATTTTCCTAGGTAAAAATAATAAAATAATATTTTAACAATCTTTATACTTAATTGAATAAATATCTCATTGGACGAATTAAATTAGAGTAAATGTGTAAATTATAATTACTACTAAATGATTAAAAATGAAAAACAAATGTCATTTAAATATATATATTAAATATTTTACGTATTTCAAAACAAGAATATTTTGTATATGCATAATATTACATAATTACATAAAAATATAAAATAGATTACTATCACAAAGATAAACAGACAATTAATTTTGCAAATAATTTTAACAAGTAATACATAATAAAATAACAAAATTCTAAATTACTCACTTTGTGGTTATTCCGCCGGATGCCTCTCTGGATATCCGTCTCTTTCCTTCATGTTTGTCCTTTCCTTCATGGCACTCATTCACTATTAATTACAATCGGACGCGCAATAATTAAGCACAATATGACAATCGTTTGGAACTTTGCACAGCACTCCCGATAATAAATCGCACACGATAGGTATTTTATTATCATATATTGCGATATGAGAACAATATAATGGCACAAAGCCTCTATGAGACTCTTAGTTTCTAAAAGTCATGCAATCGCGACTATAATTTTGATTGATTAATTTTTAAAATAAACAATACGCAAAAATATTATGACAGCTGCTATTTATTAAAGCAATATTATGCATGAAAGTTACATAATGTTGATAACAAATTACTTGTTAATAATACGTTGTTAAACATACGTTCTCGTTTGAGAAAACCGTTATTATTTTCATTATAACAAAAATGAATGTACACGCACCGGCAGAAATGGTGTTCCGGTATGTATGTGCGAATGGTCGACGTCATACGCACACAAAGCGCACATGTACGTGAGCCAAGAATTTATTCTTTATTAAATTTTATCTTTTTATATATAATTTAATTATTATTTAATCTAACAATGAATGCCGACCTTTAGTGCGCGCGATTAAGCCGCATTTCTTAAAGAAAGAAATGAAAAATATAACGATATTAAAGCACACGAGACACGTATAGAAACAGCGCGGTGTCCCGAGCGGGAGCGAGAGAGACGGCTATCGGATACCTCTAACACGGTATCACATCTTACAGTGCTTTGTCTTTCGCTCTTGTGCCGTGCGCGAAGGACGCAACATCGGAATGCCCCCCACTACTCCACCCCCACTTATTCTCTCGCTGCCCGGCTTGCGTACATGTGCGTTTCGTTTGTGTGAGTGTGACGTCAGTGAACGTCACAAGTATACCGAGACACCATTCCTACCGGTGCGTATTACAGTATTACAAGCAAAATTAGTTTTATAGAATGTAATTTTCGAAAATACGTCGTACTTTGTTGATTATTCGCACGATAAATTTCGATCGAGTAAATCACATAAAATACGCTACTAATAAATCATGGATGTATAAATTATTACTACACGATTGAAAGACATATTAAAGCATGATTCGATATTCTCTCGATAACGTATCCAATTAAACGCGTCTCGAGTCGAGATCAATCTGTAATGTATTCGCGTGTGTTTTATTAATGATAGAATCAGAAATGACATGTGCGATTTCACATTCTTGTACCGCGCGATGAATAGGCGAAAAATTCAAAATACGAAATAAAGTGTATCTGTAAAGAAAACTAGTTTTATATAAAACTGGATAGAATTACGATCGGAAAAAAAAACTCCGAAAATAAAATTTTATTGATCAATGACGTATAAAACTTCTACGTATAAAGACAGAGTAACAACAATTCTTTTAGTTTTCTACACATCGGTCCTTGTCCTTCTCTTTCGATTTATATTAATAATAAAATACATGCATACATATTTTACGAAATGACAATGAATAAACTGCGATTAGTACGCTGATATACAATCAAACTGATACAGTGTATCAAATAAGTATTTGCACATCCAGTTCTTACAATAATTTTATTCAAAGGAATAATATGTGAATACAAATTGTGTCCATAAGTAGCTTATTACATACAGAGATGATATATTATTACAGAATTCTTAATTATATGTCATAACAAAGTAATGTCCAAAAAAATGAAAATTCTGTACCAACGTATCATCTCTATATGTAATAAGCTTATAGATATAATTCGCATACATATATTATTTCTTTGAATAAAGTTACTGTAAGAAAATTGGCTGTGCAAATACTTATTCGATCCACTGTATATACGATTTAGTACACTGGTATGTGGCCTTGATTGGTATGCGATCTACAGCGCGCTACTGTTTACATATCGACGCGACCTTGTTAGTCGTATCACGGCGCTCGAGCAGGCAGGCAGACAGCGCGAGACGCTCTATTATGTCGTTATATTATTTTCCCAATCGCGAAAAATACTGCAAAATACAAAATTATTCGCTATAATCATTATAATTAGTAATTATTAGCTCGCGTGATTGATAAATTCCCGATAATCGACATGTAAAAATATTATAGTAATAGCTATTTATCGAAGCATGTATTTGGCGATATATCCGTGAATTTTTCACGTATTTCTTACGCGATATTGGAAGTAAAATTTTGTCGATGTCATTTCCGATTAATAAAATGTCGTGATTTACAAAACAGATTGATTCAAATGGCAAGAATAATTAAGTATTTTTAAATATCCTGTTTTTTAACTAGTATATTTATTCAATCTCCCGTTTTAATGCAAAATAATAATTTAAATGGAAACTTATACAATTCGTTATCGACAAGTAGTAATTCATTATTCAACATTTTGCGTTGCGATATCTCATGAAATATATACTTCGATGGTCGTAATATTTTTTTTTAGGTATCATTTATCGTGAAATTAATTAACATTGTGCCGCGAGTGACACATGAATTTGGTCGCGATTTTTTAACCAAATCATAGTTTTGAACCATAATTTGTTTTCCCGTCGCAATATATATAATAAAATACGTCTTGCGTAATAAGTTTATCGGGAGTGCCGTGTAATATTAAAACAATTATGCCAATTATCGTGTGTGCGAACGTAATTAATCGTGAGTGAGTGCCACGAAAAAGTGAGAAAAAAGGACAAACACACGAGGAGGAGGAGGAGACATCGGCCAACAATGGAGCAATTATAAAGTAAGTTATTTATAGTTTTATTAATTTATTCTTAATATTTGCTATTCTCTGTTATATTATTCATTATGCAAAATCGAATTTGCAATAACGAAATAGCAGATACATTATCTGCATTATCTACATTATTTATTACGATAAAGATTGCGCAATAGAATAGGTGCATAATGTAATGTATAAAACCCACATATTTATATTTAATATAATTGTAAAATAATCTGTAATCCAAATTCTTTTTTAAATAATACTTATATATTACATTATCATCCAGCCATTGAAATATTAATTTCCGATATTGCAACATAAGTACTAGATTATAATGCGAATATTACCACGACATCGGGTAAATGTTCGCGAATAATTCGCGGCGATTATTCCGTCGAAATTCCCGTCGTCGCACGTTCAATGCGTATTTACAGAAAACGTCATTCCGTAGCACTCTTTATCGTCGTTTTCGTGCTCCGGGTTGAAACGAAGCGGGGCCCCCCGTGGCGCATCGCGAATAGGTTCTAAAAAAACGACAGGATGGCGGGACGTGGGTTCCTACCGTTAACATCCGACTTTATGGCACATCCTGGTCGCGCGAGGCGTGCACCTCGCGGGGCCTGATACACACAAGGCCCCCGTAATTTGATAATATAGGGTTATAGTGGCGCCAAGCTGGGCCGTTTAAATTCATAACATTGTTTATTCCTATTAGACCGACCTATTGGATCCGTTCCGCGCGATATTTCATCTCGGGCCCGGGCCCAGACTCGAGCCGTACGACGCATTTTTACTTCGATCTCATCGATGCCGGCCGTATTGGTCATGCACCGGTGACGTTATTGCGGACGTCTCTTGGGGGTTATCCGAGGAACAGAATATTGTGATTACGGCTAAGAAAAGAAAGACACTCTCAAAGAGAAAAATGCAAGCGGTGATAAAAATTAATTTATTGAATTGCGCGCTTTCGTCAGGACAGATTATAAGGGCGATGTCATTGCCGATGACTTTTATGGAGAATGATTCTCTCTCTGGAGAAGATTAGACAGTAAAAACGTCACAACTATAAATCAAAGAAGCTATAGGTTTTTCGCTGGTAAATGATGTTTTTAGGAATTTCATTCTAAAAAATTATAAATATGAAGCAGCAAAAGAAATCGTTTTATCTATTTATGCATTTTGAGATAGTTCTCTAATTTATAAGTTGTTAAAAATTTGAAAATTTTGGAATATTGCGTTTTTAAGATGGCACTCTATTTTAATTTCGAATATTTTTTTTTAACGTCAAATATTTTGTTTTAATTCTAATGTTACATATTTAAAAAATGCGACGATTAATCAAAATTTTACGGAATAACAAATCGCATTATACATTGATTAAAGAATTCAATTAAAGTAGCGATAATTGTAATACATTTTAAGTATGTATTTTACATCCATTTATAATACGGATCATTAAAATTGAATCTGTGCCTTTTACATTGATGTTGTCTAATTCTTTATTCATCTTTCATCATTTTCAGTTTTTCAAAATTTATCAACTGCTCAGTGAAAAAATTAATTTTAAATATATTATTACATTTTAGAAATATATTGTAAATTCTCAGATTACACTAAATATGAGCAGAATAATGTCGTACAGCAAGTACATTTTAAAGTGATTAGCTCACGGAATATTATGGAAAAATTAACTCCAAGAAAAGCTGTCGTTCAGATTAAGTATAAAGATTTAATATAATATTTAATAATTCCGTATTAACTTTAATTTTTATAACTTCCATTTATATAGTAGTTTCATTCACATAACTTGCGCGTGATATCTTTTAGACAGTAATGTAAACTATAACTTTACGGGAAAACTTTGCGAAATCAATCAAGTTTATCGACGATAATATTCCATAATTTTGTAAAATTTTAATTTTTTATTCATAATAAATTAATGCTAAGAGACAAAAGTGTTATGCGATTCCGAGGATGGGAAGTACGCTTTAAACATTGAATATACCAGACTCACATTCACTTATTACGTCGTTGCATCGCGCGAAACGTTTAACATTCATGTCCGCGCGATAGACACCGCAATACAAGAATTCGCTGTTTCCTCTCTCGCTCTCGAAATTGCTAAAACGCCTAGGCATCATTTTAACCTGTTTATGAGCGCGCGGTGCTCGCTCTTCGAGGTCTCTCTCTCTTTCTGTCTTTCTCTCTTTCCACGCGCGCCGCATCCTTGTTGCTCCTACCCTGCTGTCAGCGAGAACGTGAAATATCGTCCTGCCCAACTAGCATCCAATAATTAGTTTACTCCTCATTACGGCTGGCCCGCGTTATTAGGAGGCCCCGCGATCGTGGGAGGGAGCGGTAAAGAGCAAGGGGGGAAAGAGGGGAGAGAACGACGTGGCCGGTAAAGGGAGATGCGAGGGGGTCGAGCTCGGAATTAACTGGACGTTTAGGGGTTACTCGACTGGTCAAAGTTACGGCCACGCCCGTTTGGTTAAGCAATTCCGTTTTTACCTGGCTGGCGCAGCTAGTTCGAATACTTTGTGAGGCCACCTATCACCCCTGTTTCGTGAACGCGCTGGCGGGGGAGAGAGGGAGATTGGTCTCATCATACATCTCCTTCTTTCTTCATTCAAACGTCTCTACCGAAGAGAGTTGGATGAAGAAGAAGCGGGATAACAATGTGGCGCAGTGGAAAAAAGAGCAAACTATTAAATAAAAAATAGTGAAATTATACGAGATTCATTTTTAGTGATATGTAAAATGGAATAAAAATGCATTGAAAACTTTACTCTATCTTATGATGCCGATCAAAATTTATTTTTAATTTCATGTATAATTGTCAAAACTAAATTTTTACTTACAATAATTATTTTCGTCTTTCTCTCTCTCTGTCTTTCTCTGTTTTTGTATTTACATTATATTGTTGGAAAAATGATTCGTTTTGTGTTGCAAATACTTAAAAATATTCACGTCAACAAACAAGTTTGATGAACTACACAAGTTCATCATTACACATAGTGTACATGTGTTAAATAATAAAAAGGAGAAAGCGAAGAGAGAAAAAGAAAGAGAAAGATCACAAAGAGAATCGGATCTGAAGATGGAGAAAACAGAGAGAAGGAGTGGAAAGATACAGAGGAAGAAGAGAGAGATAAGTTAACGTGCTCGCGCACGGGGTTATCTTTGATCTTAACCAGGGATCCGGGGGTGAGAAGGAGGGATCTCTCCGCAGGAGGACGCAATAGCGAACGTAATGAACAACTGGGGAGGAAAGAGAGGAGGAGAAAGAAGACAGAGACTCTCGTAGAAGGAGGTACGATGCGCGGGAGCCATCTCTGTTAATCACCGCGTAATTACCGCTCCAATTATCAGATACAGAGATAGAAGTGCGGAGGGGCACGAGGAGAAAGAGGAGGAGGCGGGGGAATCAGCCGGCTTCGGGAATCTGTTAGCAGCGTGATCCGGTTTATTCTTGGGGCTCGTCATATCTGGCGAACGGGCTGGTTACATGTCGATCTCAATCGCTTCGCGAGATTGGTAACCGCCACGAGAAAGTGTCAATTACTCGGTGTACGAAATATGTCTTGCAATATCTCGTTTGGAAAATTAAACGACCTTGCGTCTCTTGAAAACTGCGTTCATCCGTATTCGATGATGTTTAATCGAGGATACATGATTAGCGATAGCATCTCTGTTTCTGAATTGTGCAAACGAGAGAATACAATTTTAAATATTTTAAATATAAATTTGAATTTCGTGGATTTTTTGTAGAATATATTAAATTCAAATTATGTCAGATTATATCTTTGTCAAAGATATATAATATAAATCAATTAATTTAATATATATTTGACATAATCTGACATAATTTGAATTTAATATATTCTACATATTAGATTAATTGATTTAATATATAGAATATATTAAATCAATTAATCTAATATGTAGAATATATTAAATTCAAATTATGTCAGATTATGTCAAATTATATCTTTGATTAAAATGAGACTTTCATTATAATATCTTCCGGAAATTCTAGAGAAATGTGGAGAAAAAAATTTTAAATATGAATACTGGCAATCTCTTATTAGATATTTAAGAAACTGTAACACCCTTTTTTTTACAAATTATTGTTATAAAACGCATTTTTTCGCGCCACCAATATTTTCAAATCTAAATAACCGTCGAATATTAAAGTCAAGAATTATGCGCGAATTTTCGAGATGACGCGAATCTCGATCCGCGAATTTGCCGTCAACCATAATACGCGCAAAATCCTTTTTTTCTCCACACGTATCTCGCGCTTGTGGTTGCATAGGGGCGGGACAATACTTGTCCAGCTGCTGGTAGGTTGAACAGGGCGTTACCCGACATTCTTCGGTAAATTAACTTAGCGGGCGGCTGCAACGCGCCGGTAAGCGCGGCGCGTCTCCCGCCAAATATTCATTTAAAAAGGTAAATGCAATTTTGCCGTTTTACGTGATTGAGATAATGCCCTCCGATTAATGGACCCTCGCCTCTCTGCCCCCGCCGAAGTGCCAGGCTGATCTCCTCGAGCTTCTCTCTCTCCTCCTACCTCCCTTCATTCTTATCCTTCAACCCTTTCTTTCTTCTCCCCTTTCGCCTCTCCTCCTTTTCTTCATCCATATTCCTCCGCCTTCTCCTACGGTAGCAAACGGGTCATTACCGAAATTCAAGCCCATCCCACGAAAGATCACGGCGGAATAAAACCAGCAGTTCAATTTTCTGCAGGTGAACCAATGTTAAAAATACATGGTACCGTGAAACTTTGAACTTTGCACACGTGTTTTAACGATCTGGTACTCGAGAAATTAGTGTTTAATTCAATTTATCTGTAAATCTTGCGATATATATAATGAGAATGAATATTTATTAACTGAAAATGAATATTCATCTCTCCTCCGAAATCAGGCTAAAATAATTGCATGCAAGAATAATTTCGTATTAGAGGAAATTTCTCTGAAGAAATTTAATTTTTTCACGCAGAGAAAAAGAGA